AGCAGCGGGAGCTGCCTCTAGCCAAGGATGAAAAGCTGAGTTTCATGGGAGGAAATAATATTTAGAGAAGAGACAGATAAGGTTCCCTGCACCCCCTGCGTTAACCCTTTGCTCCCACCGCTGCTTTGTGCTGCTGTTAACCCTTTGCTCACTGCCCCCGACGCTGGAGCAGTTGTTCTCCTTGACTCTTCATTAGCTGAATTGTAAGGCTGCTGGCGCTGGATGTGCCCGTGTGGGTCAGGGCTTGGGGTTTTAATTGGAGAGAGGGAGGCCCCAGCTCTGCGGCTCTCCTCCCTGCTTCCTCCCACCAGCAAACAGGGCCGGGGTGCTCTGTGCCTGCTGATTCCCGCTTCACTCTCGCCGGAGCTGCGGCCCCTTTTGGTGCAGCTCTTCCATGGGTTAAAACTGGGAGCTGGTGGAGTAAGGAGGGACGTTTCTCGTGGTTCCCACATCCAGCCTGGGGTATCCTGCCTGGTCTCGCTGTGAAAGTGTTTTGAGGTGCCTGGAGCCAGTTTGGTGTTCGTTCTCAGCACCTGGGCAGAGGGTGCAAGGCTCTGCGCTGGCCACAGAGCAGTTCCTCGCAGCTCGGAGAACCTGGGGGGAGGATCTCCCAGTTCAGCAGACCTACCTGCACCCCCTCCATCCCAGCCAGGCTGGGGACTGTGGTCAGCCTGAGCGGGACTACAATGGCTCCACCCCATTAAATATTGACGGAACTGTTGGGGAAGCACTGGGGCATTACAGCAGACCCCAGAGAAAACACAAATCTATCTTGCCCCCCCGACTTCTTCTCTCCCAGCTGTCATCTTCCCTGGCCTCATCCTGGGAGGGAGGACTGAAGCCTCGTGGAGGGGCTGAGCACCAACACCCACAGTGTGAAGCAGCTTTTCCCCTTTCCTTCCTTCAGAGGGACCTGGAAGGCTGTTGTGCACCCCCTCGACCCTGCCCTCCCCTGCTGTCCCACCTTCCCGTCACTCTCTTCGGGTCCTGCTCGGGACTAGAGCAGCAGCAGCAGCCGAATCCAGCCCAGGATTCCCACCATCCCAGTAAAATGACTGGGATCAGGGACCTGGAAGTGATCCTGGAGAAGAAGGGGTCCCAGCCTGGCCCCGTGCATTACGCTGCCTTGGCCAGTTGAATCATTACCTGCTTCAGTGACTTTGTTAGCAAAAAGACACAGCTTTTTAGCGATTTACACCAATTTTACATCCCGCCCTCCCAAAAGAGAGGTTTAAGAGCTTGGCAGGAGCTCCAGTCCTCCCACTGCTCAGACCATAAGCTACTGCTGCCCCAGTTAGGTTGCCGTTCTTGCCGTTTGCCATCATTAAGCTAAACAACATCCATGGGCAATGCCCCCAGAAAGCCCCCCTCCTGCTTCTCTTTGACCCGGCTTGGCGGTGCCAGGAGGATGAACCACCAAACCCCTGCTCTGCTGGGGACGGGCTGCGAGGCTCCTGGGTGTCCCATGCCCCATCAGCCGACCTTCTGCTGCAGCACCATCCCACACAACCCTGGAACTGGTATTTCTGTCCCCCCTCAGGTCTACGGACACTCTGTTTAGTAAGTGTCACCCCGATCAGTCAACCCTTGGCCCAACCTGAAACCTGTCCTGCTTTCCTCAGCTGGTGGGACAAGGTGTCCCCCGGGGGAGAGCCCGATCTGTGCCAGGGCAAAGGTCCAACCCCTGGTGGGAGCTGGTGTTTCCACAGAAGGGAGCGGGAAGGGGTGGGAGGCTGGGGTAGGGGAAGGTAGAGACTTGGGGGGGTGGTCCCTGGGCTGGGAGGTGTTTGCTTCCCATCTGGAGCTTGGGTGGGAAGCTTTGACACCCATCTTCCAAAAAGGGCCACGTGGGGGGCAGAGGACACCTACTGTGGAGTGGTGCTTGGTCTGGACACCTCAGCAAGTTGCGCCGCTCTCCACACACTCAATACCTGGGGCTGAGCCGGGTCAAGGCACAAATGGGGCCAAGAGGGGAGTAAGGGTGCCCTTGAGTGCTCCAAACTGGGAGGGAGGAGACAGCCCCAGTGGCTCCCCCCCTCCCCGTCCCATCTCACGCGACCCCCCACTTCGGCCGGAGGGC